AATTTCCTTAAATATAACATTAACTCAGTAGTTAACGTAATCCAATTCACTTACGAGGAGGTAGAAAATGAGTATTACCTATGTTGGATTGGAGAGTAAAACGAAGGATAGACGGTGGTTTGTATACTACTGTCTACATAAAACCAACACATTCTAACAGGTATCTGGACTTCGAGTAATCTAGTCCACTGTCAGTCAGTGAAGGCAAGTTTAGTCAAATGTTTAAATGATAGAGCTATAAAATTTACTACACAGTGAAAGAACTTAAGAAAGGAACTGAAGCATATAAAAGAAGTGCTAAGAGTTTGTAATTACCTTCTGCAGTTTATCAAGAAATTCGTAAGAACATGTGGAAAGGAAATAATAATAGTAACACGAGTATGAATAATAACGACAATGCAAGTAGAAAGGAGTTCTCAGCCTCCATTGTGTTACTCTAGAAGGAAGGTAAAACACAAACTCTACATAGGGTCCTCAACAAAGCTAGAATTAGCTATAGTGGTATTTAAACTTACAAACTCACTAAGAAATAAGCTTTATCGGTTGGCTTATGGATCGGATAGATTCAATTAAGTAGAGTAATCGAATCTATCAAATTCCATGTAATGACTTTGCGTGAGGTTCAGTACGTAGGTGAAACTATCCTGTTGGTATCAGTTAGAAAAGCGGAACATAGGAATTTGGCTAAGTATAGAGTGACAGACCCGGATAAGATCACTAATCCAGAAAGTAAGTCGGTTATTACAATGCATCCACATTAACACACAACCACACAATAGGGTGGGTGGAGAGAGAGATTGATTACTGAATCTTTGTTCATCAAATCAACACCCAGCACATATAACAAGAATGGCGCAACATGCATACCACGGGTATGGAAAATTTTATTAGCAATCGAAACAAAGAGTATTAGGTGAGAGGACTACAAAAATCGGATATCGAAAGGAGTGTGATTACACAATGAAATGTTTATGAGCAATCATAATTTATGCTCGAAACGTCATGAAGGTAATAATACTGTATCACTGTGTGCTTTACATCAAATAAACAAATCCAATGTGGGATTTTGACAGTCGCTGTTATCCAATATAACTTTTAGTATTACCTTCCAACTTGAGGTTTGTCCAAAAGACTTTCTTCACAGCTAGTTAAGACTGTTGTGCAACCTTCTTCTCCTTCGATTTTTAGTCTAGTAATCTGAACGGGTAATGATTCTGCATCAGTGTTTGTGGCTAAGAGTTTAAAATTATCTTTTTATCACTGGTCAATAAAGAAACCAGATATAATTGTAATCCGAGTTCTGTAAGCTTATCTACTAATAAGTTGGTATTCATTATGGACTGACTGACATCAGCTGGAGGGATACTGGAAACCTGGGAGCACTGGACAACAGTTTCGTCCTATCATGGGACTCCTCAGAAGTGAGCACCCACAACCCCTCCAGGGCTCGAACGCAAGGCCTCCAGATCCGCTGGCCAGCACATTACGATTGAACCACTGTGCTGGAATCACGCGTTCTACATTTCCAACTTCTGTCAGTCCACGATATAGTGCGACCTACGTTCAATTTTGTAGTTGAGTAACTGTCGTCATGTCCATCAGGTTTGCCCCACCAGTCACGACTTCTCTTTGGAATTACAGGAATCGTCTCTTGAAGCTAGTCACCAATGAGCACTAGATCGTTTCACTTCGGAACTTGCAGAAGTCTGAAATGTGGATTATTAGATTCCGACCCAGTGGCTGGATGGTAACGTGGTGGCCATGGAACCTTGACGTGTTGGGTTCGATCGCTGGCAGAAGTGGGGTAAAGTCATGGGTGCGCACTGTTGAGGAGTCCCATACTAGTACGAAACAGTTGTCCAGTGCTCTCGGGTTTCCAGTGTTCCCCCAACTGATGTCACTCCATGATGAATATCAACTTGAGAAAATCTCCGAATCCTTACAAACCCCCAAATCCGATTGTATGTGTATAGTTCAACACAAATTCTATCAAGTTAGTATGATAGTTTGTCACTGTCCAGAAACACGTACAATGAATGCTCCAGGTATCTAGTCTGGTCATGAAAAGCGCTTCTATTGTGTTACGATATTCCAACCGATTACTGCTATTCTGTACTACTAAGTAATTGGGCTTCTGGGGACTGTTTAGAGGGACAGCTTGAAATATAGGTAATAGCAATATGTTCCCTGTTCTGTCTGCACCACTCTGAAATAGTAGCTATGGCGAATCTTAATTCTCGATAATTCAATTTATAAACTAGCGCAATGACTGTCTGATGACGAATTTTCCGTTTAATCATAAACAGACTCACTTATGTGGATCTTCGGACTCTAGTCTAAAGATTCAGTTAGGAGCTTTCCTAACACTCCCGATTGAAATTGTTCTAATGACATATGGACAGTTTATTATCTTTGATCATAGGTGATAGAAACCGGCCAAAACGTAAATGAACATTCCAAGTTATCAGCAGCTGAGACAGAAGTTTCGGAGGACAATTTTTTGTTTCATACTGCTGTGTGATCAAGAAAAACTTTATTGGACAATTTTACCCCACATTTGGCCAATCAAAATACATTATTTGACTTTTGACCTTGTGCCCATGAAAACAGTATACAAATGATATCTTTTTGTCGAATAAAGTGTCTTCCTTAGAGTCACAGGCTGGTCTTTGTTAACATATATTTTTATGGCTCTGTGAAGTATAACGTACTAATGTAAAACAGACTGTAAACTAAGATCATGGAAGGAGAAAAGATTGAACAATCTTCTTTTGTGTACATAGTTCAGCTTTCTCCATATGGATGGCAAGAGCTTCGGCGATGCAGAGAATACGAAGACATACAGCTTTTCGAAGGTTTATTTTCATCTTATAAATTACTTTAAACAAGGCGGTTCTTGAGATAGGGTGGTTTGTGTTCATAATATGTTCAATTATAGCACTCCTTATCGCCCCTTTGTTACCTATTTGTAGCCACGTGGGATAGCACTATTAAACCATTTTGAAGGGCAGTCGCATTGAACGACCAATATACCTGGCTCCACAAGAGCAGGTGAATTGATACATGGACATAGAAGTGGTCAGATGTGAAAGTTTCTCCTTCGAGTTGCTAGAAGTCGTTGGACAACAAGAAAATACTAGGGGAAGAATGTTCTCCTTAGAGCTTTTGATATCCTGCTTTTTAGAATGTCAGCAACAGAATCACCTTTGAGATTTAGATTCATACAGAGTGTCTTTTTTTAGCACAGTGGTGAAGTTCTCTTTGCGAAGTTTAGGCTTGATGTGCTTGTCTATGAAGTGTGGTGCGGATCCGTTTTTTCTGCCAGAATATTCTTTAGGACAGAAGTTTTCTCTTCTAACACAACATTCCATCAGCCGTTCTTGTCAGTTGAGGTGTTTAACAAAACCTATGTGTAAATGAGAAAAAAGTGTTTTACTTAATAAATCAAAAAGTCGTCTCAGGTCATGGAGTACTAACTTGACATGATTCTTCTTGACTGGTCTCTTCTTTCCTAAGATTGGCAAGTTTACAACAATTAAACAGCCTTGTAGAATCCTGAGTACGATGATACTCTGAATACTCTAACAACCAACAGTAAGAAGAATGTATAAGGAACTCTACATGGAATACTAATGCATATTCGTTATTGATTCATAAATTACCAACACTTCAAACAAAGAATACCCTTTCCACTGAATATTCTTATCACGTTCTCCACTTATGAAGTGGATTTGAGCAGCGTTAAAAAACACTGGCCAAGTATGAGGCGAGTAGATTTTTCAAAATGGAGTAAGAGTTAGGAAGTGTAAGGAAATCGTGCCGACGAAGTAATAGCGTTGTATAATCAGAGGTGCCTAACATTAAGCGTAAGATCGATTTGCTCCGAGGAGTGTATGTGTGTGTCGGAAAAGAATTAGTCCTACTATCTTGAAAAGATTATCAAAGCGAACATTCCACTGGAGAAGATGCCTCTGCTGTTTCTGTGACTACAATTCAAGAGAGACCCTCCATGTAACATCCTGTCACAACGCCTAGATAAAGCAGTCAATAAAACGTTTTATGCAGGTCTTCTTTGCATATCTTTCTATAGTCGGGTAATGCTCAGTCCGAGACTATAGGAAAGTCTCCCTGATCTTAATTCTTAACTGCCCTTGTGGAACATATTTTATTAAGTGTTCGTTTATGCAGTCGTGTTTAGGGATACGAGGACATTTACTGAGTTGGTTCGGAAAAGGTGAAGTGAAAGTGGTGGAAAGTTTCGGTCCTTGAGCACCTAGTAGATACAAGGTATCATGTAGACATGAATTAACCCATTACTGTTGTATATCGTGTATCAAAAGCGGTACCATATCCAGCTTGCCAAGGCTTTCTCAGCCTAACTAAGTCTGTCGCAATAAGACTGATCAAACCTGAACTGTGCATTCAGAACGATTGTGTTTAAAAGTTATGCCTCCGTTGGCCTTCAGTAAACTAAAAGTCACTTCTATCTTCTTTATTCTCTGACTTTTCATTGACTATCACATTACACATCTGTATATACGCCACCGTCATACCGAAAAATCGATATACTTGCAGTCTTTAAGTCTCGTTCCATTCTGAAAATATATTTTCCTCTAACTTGATTTACTTACTTAGGCCGTACAATTCCATTTTATAATTTTAGCAGCTGATCAGAATGGTTAGTGAAAAGAATATACCTCATTGAGTCGACGTTCACTCTTCGACCAAAGCTCATACAAAAGTAATTAACCAGTCAGAAGGAGTCCGATGAAAATACATCAACGGCCTAGTGGGTTAGAGTCTTGATGGTAAGAACATCAGCCAATGGTGTGAATGTACATCCAGTTGACGAGTCCAGAATGAGATGAAACTTGCATTCTAGATTAATATTTTAAGGATAACCAGTGTTACATAACTGCGCCAAGTAACTGATTGAAGCATTCGCCAACCAATATTGTCATAAATGACATAATCTTTTGTTTAATATTTTCTTTTAATAGCTCTTAAGTACTGCTGGTTATTACTTTGATGTTCCGTTTAAACCAGTAGTGAGTGCACCATTTCTTCCGGAATGGCCATATGAAGTATTAGGCTCAGGTAAATTGAATATTCGGCATCGTATCATGTTGGGAGTGAACAAAGATGAAGGTATGTTTATGCGTTATTTTCTTTTAATATATTTTAACTTGTTCCTTCTTGTATTTTCCAAATGGAGGTACCGACCTCAGTCTAGTAATGATACCGTCCAGTTGAGGTTAGTTAGTTGGTTATATTTTAATCCTGACACCTATTGATTGGAAAGGTTACAGAGTTAAAAACAAAGATGGAATGAATGACATTTTACTTGTTTCAATATAGACCTCTTGTACAAATACTTCAACATTGTCTTGCTTATATCTGATAGTAGTTGGTTAGCTGTGAAATTCCCAATATGCGTTACATCTCCTTAAGTATCCATCAATTCGGTGTATCTGAATCTCAGGAAAATGTTTCTGCCTCCATAGAGGCGAATCGACGTGATTACCGTTAAGCATCTGGCAATAGTAATAAGCTTGTTTACAGGGACCATCAAATTGATAGTGGTAGAGACATCTCCAACACTTGAGTTGTCCTGAATGATACAGATGCCAGGACATTAAAGTTTATCACAATATTAAAAGTGTCTGAAAGTTATGAGAAAAATACAGGAAAATATCTTTTTACAGTACATACAGATTGTTTATGAGTTTCCGTCGTTTACATTCTGCATTCTTTTCTTCACACTAAAGTGGTATCAAGTTCGTACAATATTTACCGTTTGCGTTACAAGTGACTAGGGTGCTTGATCCATCTATATAGTTTCATGTTTCATCAGACAAATGTCAATTTGAGCAATAATTTCCATATTTATAGTATCATTGATTTCAGATATCCGTAAGTGTTAACATAACCACGTGAAGATCTAAAATTCAAGTATTTCCCACTTGTTATGTTACCTTACGCAACAATATAGATGCAAGCCATTAGAATTAGTTGTTGTGGTGGAGAGGAATAAACTTATTAAGGACCATTGTTCAGTTGTGATGGATTTTTATGCAGAATTCACATCGAAGCATACAGTATTATCAAAATGTAAATTATACCGCATCATCCTGGAGAGACTAAAGAACGCGCTGGATTCAAATTACGACCGGAACAGGCTGGCTGGATTCAGGAAGAACAAATCATGTGCAGACCAAATTGCAACGCTACGCATCATCATAGAACAGAATACAGAATGGCAGTCAACTCTCTACCTCAGCTTTATCGATTCTGAAAAGACCTTCAATCGAGGCATCGACCGAGAAGTAATTTGGCAGCTGCTTCAACGCTAAGGTTTTAGTGCATTTATCCACCTCATTCGACAGCTATATGAAGATGCCACATGCCAAGTGATCCACAATGGAGAGCTCAGTGATGCCTTTGAAGTGAAGACAGGAGTAAGACAAGACGAGGTTTCCTACTATCACCCATAATCTTTCTGGTTGTGGTGGACTGGATCATGCAACACACATTGAGGAGCGAGAAGAGGGGGATAAGTTGGACCGCAGAAAAGATCCTAGAAGATTCGGATTTCGCCTATGACTTGTATCTAATGTCACACGAACTTGAAGATTTACAGGCGAAAAGTAACAGGTTGACAGAAGAGGCAGCGAAGATGGGACTTCAAGTGAATGTAGAGAAGACAGGTGATGGAGATACCCAACCAACCAACAACAGCAACAACAAGCTGCAATCACCATGAACAAGAGAAACTTAAAGGAAGTAGCCTCTTTCACCTATCTAGGCAGCACTGTTTCAACTACAGACAGCGGCACAGACGATGACGTCAAAGTCAGAATTGGAAAAGCAAGACAGGCTTTCATTAATCTGAAATCAGTGGGGAGATCTACTGCACTCAGCATAAAGTGTGAACAAGATCTGGATTTTCAACACCAATGTCAAGTCAGTGCCTCTATGTGATGGTCCAGAAACTTGGGGTGTCACGAAAAGCACTTCCAAAATACTGCAGACATTCATAAACAGCTGCCGCCTACGCTGGCTCGATACTGAAAATCAGATGGATGGCCAGAAAAAATAAGCAACAAGGAACTCTGAGAGCTAACCAACCAAGAACCTATGACCCAATAAATGTGCAGAAGAAGAGAGTGAAGATGGATTGGGCATACACTGAGAAGGCCAACTGGGGACATCACTCGTCAGGTCCTCGAATGGAATCCAAGGGGGAAACGACGAGCTGGGTGTCAGAAGTGAAGGTGACATGGAGGAGATCATGTGAGGAAGAAATGGAAGTGGTGGAGCGAGGTTCAAAAGACTGCAGAGAAGGGAGTGGAATGGAGACGTGCTACTGAAGTCCTATGTTCCACTAGGAAGCCGAGGGAAAAAAATACTTAACGCAACTGGTCCCTTTGATAAATTTAAACAGCATAATGAGAAGACGAAGATTTTCTGAAACGTGTCCTGGTGTATTAGAGCTATACATTTCGAACAATATGATCACACATGGACTTGTCGAACTATTTGTGTGAAAATTTACGAAAAGGGTCAATGAAGTTAATAGGAAACATAGGAATAGGAAGACAGAGAAAAAGAAAAAAACGTTACTCGTGGTTTCTTTTTCTCTCTCTTCCTATTCCTATGTTTCCTATTAACTTCATTGACCCTTTTTGTAAATTTTCACACAAATAGTTCGACAAGTCCATGTGTGATCATATTGTTCGAAATGCATAGCGCTGATACATCACGACACGTTTCAGATAATCTTCGTCTTCTCATTACACTGTTTAAATAATAATATTGTCTAGTAATGATGGGCAGTGGAATCCAGGATGCGCATTTCGTCCTATTTGGGACTCGTCAGCTGGATATGCCTGCTTCCCAGTGAGTGATATTGTTCCCACCGGGACTCGGGAGCGATCGCTACAAGCGATAACACTATTAATATCGTCTGACAGAGTCAAATGAGATAAAGAACTGAAGAAATCTGTTGCGTAGGTTCATTTGTTGATATGTAGCACTTAGAGTCACTTAGATTTAGTTGGTTGTTAAGGTTTTTGCTGCCATTATGACCGTCCAGAAGCCTTAGACCAGTTATTGTAGTTGGTTTTTAGTATACGGTAGTAACACGTGGGACAGTAGTCGTTAAATATGGCACTCCTTGCACTAAACCGTCATTTGCAAAATGTGCTTCATTTACTCTTCTGCTTCTTTTTGATTTGCCCTTCATACGCCTGCCTTGTCTCTTGCATTTCTCTTGGCGGAATCCTTACCCACTGCTGGTAATTCCCTATGATTTCTGCCACCCTATCAACATATACTACTTATATCCATGCTTATCAGCAACACCCACTACAGTAGTATTTAGGATGTTGGCAAGCAGGTGAGTAATAATAATGACTTCATTTTGAGAGCTATTTAGGGAATACTTAACAGAGTTTTCAGCATGTCACATACCATCAAGTGGAAAGAGACAATGTATATGTGTACATAGCAAAAGGAAACAAGTAGAAATTAAATGCATAAAAGATAAGAAAAATATTTACTCCATCTACAACTTTCTTGAAAACGCCTAGTTAATTTGGGGAGTTAACAATCATACTAGCAATTAGGTTCATAATACATAAATAGTAACATGGTGTGTATGCACAAATTGGTTTGCTTTTAAACACAGAAGTTGATGATGAAGTTCATTTTTGACACAGCTAAATATGTAGGGCATTGAGGAGATTTTATAATGAGTAGTACATCCTTGAAGTCTTATGTACTTGCTCATGACTTTTCCAGATAACCGACATGCAGAGGGGTTTGAGTGAACAGGATGCTGGTCATCTGATAGAATAACTCCTGCCAAATATTTGTGTACAACAGTTTCATAGTTAGAAGGTTTTTAGGTACACCACTAGTTCTGCTGGCAATCTTCAAGGTTCTACGCCATATAGCATAGTCTTTTTCAGAAACCTGGGAAAAATAAAGGGGTACAATAGAGGAGGACAGGCAAGATGCAGGAGTTTATAAAACACAAGAGGAGAGACTGAGTTATGCCAGATATTCTCAGCTTCCTAGTATAGAAAGTTAGGCGAAAAATTCTTTTGGAAATTAGTAAGATATGGGAAGACCAGGAAAGGTCAGAAGAAAAACACACTGAGATAAATCACACTTGTTTTATTTTCTAATGCACAAGTATCAATAGAAAAGGAATCATGATAACTAAACAGCTTACATAGATTATATTCACGTTTGAAACTGAAGTCTGACATTTTGAAGAATTAAGCCGAAGACTAATTATGGAGGACCGCCGTCTAACAGTAGATAGGAGATCATTCAGTTGGGAACAATCTATTGAAGAGGAGACAAGTATGGAGACTGTTAGGTCATCAGTATACTTGATAACACTGCTACTAACTGAAGATGATAAGTCATGCAGAAAGGATGGTTCCTTGGGGAATATCAGTCACAGTAAGCAGTGAGGTGGAGCGCTTCCCTCCGTGAACATTACGTTGTTTCCTTCTAGAGAAATAGAAATGCAGCCAGTTGATTATCCAGAACTCAGTATTAGTCTCTTGTTGCTTGTCCAGAAAACCCGGTCTTGGGAGAGAATCCAATGCCAAAGTATAGTCTAAAAAGGCACACCTGACATACTTGGCATTTCTACCAAAATTGCAAGCAATATTGTAATTTAAGACAGTGGTGGCATCCAAAGTGCTCTTCCTGCTTTTATGTGTAAATTGATTTGGGTCTCTGAAAGCCTTCGGTAAAGGTTCGAGCACGGGTGTTATAAGCTCCTCTATTGCTTTCAAGAGCGGAAAGGTAACTGCAACCGGACAAAATTTCGGACATGCATCTGGAGTCCCTGACTTAGTTACTGGGGCTATCTTAATATCTTTCCCGGCACCTGGTACGGTGTTTTCTAAAACGGTCTATTGAATATGTTAACTAATGGATGGGATAAAATATCAGCACACTTTGTGAATACGAAGCTTGTCATACCATCGGGACTTGAACTGTGTGAATTGTATTCGTTTTTGTTGGCGGTTACCAAGTTCCAGTTTCGGTAGGAATGCATATATGGGTCTGACTTCATCCTAACTGGAGAGATGCAACATTCCCGAAGGTTCCATTTCCAATTACTG